CATAAGCAGTCCTGGAGGTTCCTGCAGAGCGTCGACGATAACTTTTTGACGCAGGTTGTGGAGGAGCCGACGAGGAGAGGTGGGCTACTGGACCTCGTGCTATCAAATAGGGAGGGCCTAGTAGGAGATGTGAAGGTGGGAGGTAGCCTCGGCTGCAGTGACCATGAGTTGGTGGAGTTCAGGATTCAACGAGGAGGAGGCAGGGCTGTAAGTAGCCTTGCGACGATGGACTTCAGGAGGGCCAACTTTAGCCTCTGCAGAGACCTCCTCGGTAGAATCCCATGGGCTAGTGCTCTAGAAGGAAGGGGGGCCCAAGAGAGCTGGTTAGTTTTCAAGCGGCACTCCCTCCACGTCCAGCAACAGTGCATCCCTGTGTGTAGGAAGGGAGGCAGAAGGGGCAGGCGACCTGCGTGGATGAGCCGGGAGCTTGTGGCAATGCTCAAGCAGAAGGCAGCGGTATACAGAATGTGGAAAAAAGGACAGGCCCCCTGGGAGAAATACAGGAACGCAGTCAGGGAGTGCAGAGATGCGACAAGGAAAGCTAAGGCACGGCTGGAAGGCAAGCTGGCAAGGGACGTTAAAAATAACAAAAAAAAATTCTTCAAATACATTAACAGCAAAAGGAAGATCAGGGAAAACGTGGGTCCGCTGGAGGACGGGATGGGCACCTTGGTTACAAATAACACAGAAAAAGCAGAGTTGCTCAATGCCTTCTTTGCTTCGGTGTTTACCAAGGGCAGCCCTTTAGAGCCCCAGGCCCTAGAGGCAAGAGAAGAAGCTGGTGGAGAGGAAGACTTGCCCTGGGTAGAGGAAGATTGGGTCAGAGAGCACCTAAGGAACCTCGATACCCACAAATCCATGGGCCCTGATGGGATGCACCCCAGAGTGCTGCCGGGAGCTGGCAGATGCCATAGCTAAGCCGCTCTCCATCATCTTTGAAAGATCCTGGAGAACGGGGGAGGTGCCGGAAGACTGGAAGAAGGCCAATGTCACGCCAGTCTTCAAAAAAGGCAAGAAGGAGGACCCAGGCAACTACAGGCCAGTCAGCCTCACCTCCGTCCCCGGAAAAGTGATGGAACGGCTCATACTGGCCGTTGTCTCCAGGCACATGGAGGACAAGAAGGTGCTCAAGAGTAGTCAGCATGGATTCACCAAGGGAAAATCTTGCCTGACTAACCTGATAGCCTTCTATGATGAAATGACCGGCTGGATAGACGAGGGGAGAGCGGTGGATGTCGTCTATCTCGACTTCACCAAGGCTTTTGACACCGTCCCTCACAACATCCTCCTGGGCAAGCTCCGGAAGTGTGGGATAGATGAGTGGACAGTGAGATGGATTAGGAACTGGCTGGATGGCAGGGCCCAGAGAGTGGTGATCAGCGGTGCAGAGTCTAGTTGGAGGCCTGTGGCTAGTGGGGTCCCCCAGGGGTCAGTCCTTGGTCCAGTCCTGTTCAATTTATTCATCAATGACCTGGATGAAGGCACAGAGTGCTCCCTCAGCAAGTTTGCTGATGATACCAAACGGGGAGGAGTAGCTGATACCCCAGAGGGCTGCACTGCCATCCAGAGGGA